ATGCGTGCATGTGTGTGTGAACACGGATGAAGAAGTGAGGTATGTGCAGGACTGAAGAAGGACAATAAGGAAGGAAGGAAAAGGACGGTGAGGCGCAAAGTAACAACGGCGAGCAGAGACGAGGGAGGAATATGGCCAAGAGACAAAAGGAATTGAGGCAACATAACACAGCGCATAGCTTTTGTTTTTCCATCATTCCACGATTTTTATTTTTTTCTAACAAGGGGCTGCAGGTGGCAGGATCAGGCTTTCTATGGCACAGGCAGCCTAGGGGTGACTGGCCATTGTAATTCCCTAACAACCTCCCCGATACACACTCCGTACGGACTTTCATGTCCCTGCTTGTGAACCTTACACCCCTGTTCAATGCACTCAGTTGCGGATTGCCCTCCTCAGGTGGGAGACGAGGTCTGCGTACCCAGTCCCTCGGGCGCGTACCCCCGGGAATCATTACACTGGCGAGGACACTTCGCTCAGTGAACAGCGCACTCTAGACCCACTAGACCACCTATCATCCTATATATATATATGAACTGTGTGGCATCTATATGTCTATTTAGTCTCCCCGAGTGGAACCCCTTCGACACTATACCATGAAGCTCAACACCCCCTTCTCTTAGTACTACACTAATCACAAGGCTCATTGTCTCGGTTGAGGAATTTCAACCGCCCCCATAAGGATCTTTCAACTGCCCCCGTAAAGATCTTTCAACTGCCCCGTTAAGGTCTTTCTACTGCCCCCGTTAAGGTCTTTCTACTGCGTCCCTAATGGGCCTTCTACTGCCCCTGTAAGGATCTTTCACAACAACACACTCGACATTTTTTTTCATTCAGTTCCTATTTCAACATCCACTTTACACCTTACTTCTGACCCCACGGGTACAGCTATACCTTTCTCGGCCTTTTGCCTAAAAGTAGATCAAGTGTAGTATCTGTTCTGATCAGTCAAGTGTAGTATCTGTTCTGATCAGTTTAATACCTGATCCGTGGTCCATCGGGGAAAAAAAAAAAAAAAGAAGTCCTGACCGTTTGCCTGCCGGGAGCCTGAAGGGCACAGAGTGCCACACACATGTAATGGTTAATATTTACAACAGATTCCAAATCCTGTTGGATAGAATCACATTCTTTTTAAGCCTTTTTTTTTTTTTTTTTGGCAACAAACAAGGAACTCCATTATGATGTACCAAAATGAGGCCAGGAACTCCTCACCAAACAAGCCAGACGTTCCACTGGGACCATTACCCAGTTTCAGTTATGGGGCCTGATACCCCAACCCAGACCCAAAAAGTCCATAATTATCACCTACCCTCAGCCTAACAGGACTGGGTGGAGCCTATCCAGCTCATGCAAACAGACCAACGCTCATACCAAACTTAGGCCCAGTAACACCTACACTTCCACATGTCCACTGTGAGTACAGAGCTTACTGTTCAGTTCTTTTCTTTTCTTTTTTTTTCTTTTTTTTTTCTTTTTTTTTTTGACCACGGATGCCCTCGACTGTTCACGTTGTTATCAAGCCCCTAATGATCAACCTTGTTTTTTTTTTTTTTTTTTTTTTTTTTTTTTGGCTCTGACTGTTCAGGTTGTTACCAAGCCGCAAGTGATCAACCTTGTTGCCAAGCATAATTTGCCCTGCTCATCCACGAATGCCAATTGCTGGCGTGCCCCTGTCTTCTTGACCCATTTCATAGTATCATACACTTCAATCTCTCTTCCTTCCCTCTTAAACCACCAGTACTTCCTAAAGTCGAGCCCGTTAACAAGCCACAATTTTAGGAAACGTACGGGCCACTACAGGAGCGCCCAAATTCATCTGACTAGAAACGTTTGTAGTAACTTTGTACTCTATTTTTTTTCCACGGCCGATAGCTACGCCACGTACTGGTGGTTTAAGTCATTTCCAGACACCCTCTAAGGCCAATCTGTTTCAATTTAGCATCTGACTCTGGACCGATTCTGCAACTCGATTTCCAAATCCGACATTTGTCTCCCTTGAAAGGCAGCCCGGGTCCTTTGATGTCATTTAACTCGCGCATCCCGAGACACTCCAGCAATGCAGGCCCAACCACACAAAATGGATTTATATTTTGGGAGGGAATCTGAGGAAAACCAAAACCACACACTCGGACCACTGCCTTCGCCAGGTGCACTGTTTCCAGATGTGTTTTGATGCAGGATAATCTCTCCAGTGCAATGATCCCGCTCCATTCACATCCAATTTGACTACCATGCATGCTTGCAATTCAAATACACCAAACTCGGGAATCCAAGGAAAACCAAAACCACACACTCAGACCACTGCCTTCGCCAGGTGCACTGTTTCCAGATGTGTTTTGATGCAGGACAATCTCTCCCGTGCAATGATCCCACTCAATTCACATTCAATTGGACTACCATGCATGCTTGCAATTCAAATACACCAAACTCGGACACTCCAGCAACGAGTCAAAAACCAGATGACAATTTGAAATAGTAATTAAAACTCAAAGAACAGCGTAGCAAGTCCCAATTGCATACACCTGGCAGCTATGGCTGCCTTCACCTCAACGCAGGTAAGTTTCCCTCTCACTCGCTCCCTCTTACAGCGTCACCCTCTCTGGAAGTCTTCAACCTCACTCACTCTCTCTCTCTCCCTCTCCTATACCCTCCAGCGAAGGTCCTAGCTATGGTGTCCTGCGTCGTTGACTACCCTACTATGCCCGACCCAATGCGCATCGCCGTAAGCTGCACAAGCATTGCACTGGTTCTGCAACCATTTGAATGAACAAGTGTCTCCTCTCTGCAGTGTAACAGCCTTTTGTAATGGCTGCAATTGACAATTTGGATCTTTTTGATTTGTACACATACCACACGCATGCCCCAGCTATTACGGCAACCACTTAGATTAGACATTTTGCTCATAGGGGAATGAAAATCGATCCCCTGAGCTACACAGGAGAATCAATGCTGCAGTGTTACCTTCTACAGGAACTCTTATGTAATGTACAATTGTCCAGTGGGATGTGCCGGCTAATCCCCAGCACATGCTGCTCCCCATGACTAGACTAAAGCCTTCCCAATGGTGGGTCATGGACTGTCCAAAGGCTTCCCTGGACGGCGTATGAACTTAGAATGTGTTTTTAAAATTAAGGAAAAAAAGGCATATACATCTGTTTTGTACACAAATCAAAACACAAGTATAAGAAGGAAAATGGTTCAGCAAAAATCTGCGTAGAGAAAATGGAGCAGTGGCATTGCAGAAGAGTCCTTAGAGAAACAAAAATCATCATCAACGGTGGCAGCGATCATCATACTTCTTTGCCTCAACGCATCATCTTGCGGTGTGTTTAGGCAAGGGCCCACCACTCCGAGGGCCACAACCCACTGGTGCTATATTCATTCTAGGAAAGCATGAGCCTGGCCGCTACTATGTCCAGGTACTTGCTTTCCAAGCATGAACATAGCGCCAGTGAAGCCT